AACAGAAAGAAAAAAAAATAAATCTACGTGTGGAATGACTGAAAGAGTGACGAGGTTTTCAATTGACTCTTGTTTTGTGAGTGCTCGGCGAGGAGGAGGAGGGGGTTTTCCATCACCTTCTTCTCAACATATCCTCTTCTTCTTTTTTACTTCAGAGCTTGTTTTCTCTAGAGAAGATGTGTATGCTACTCTTGGTGGTGGTCATTGCCTTTAGTGTTTTGTTGCTGACGGTTGCTGGGAGTTCTACTTCTCGCCTTCTTCTCTCCCATTAAAACAAAATTCCAATTCTATCGGCAGGGTTTCTACATGAAATAAAACAAACCAAACAGAGTCTCCCTTTTCTTAAAGAACTCTTTCTATACTCCCATATACATCTCGCCCTCTCTCTCCCCATTCACCTTTTTTTATCCTCTAAATCTCATCTTTCTCCTTTTGAAATATTGTTAGGTTGGTTGATTTAAATTCTCATTCCGATTTTTTTTGTAAAACCCCCCAGAAAAGTCAGAGCATTATTCTCTAAATCTCCCCTCCGAAAAACACAAAAATAATTATCTCAGATTTATAGTATGGAGTAGTTGGCGGCGGCTGAGTACCCAAAAACAACAAATTCTTGTGAGCAAGCATCTGATGATGATGAGAGGCGGTCAGGGGGGATTATTTTCTCTGCAGGTGTTGTTATATTGCATTTATGGGCCTCCTCCTATATGCTGCTCTATGTGTGTGGAGTATATTGACTACTGGTTACATTTGACTAAGGTCTCTGAGCTGTTGCTGCTGGCTGTATGTGTGCGCGTTTTTGTGGACCTGATCTCTTTTTTGTTGTGTGGCCCATTGCTCTCGTTGTGTTTATTATTTTAATTGCTATTGGGAATAACAGCTATTTTTGTAAATCATTGTCAACCAAGAAAAAATCTACTCACAGCTGAGATATATCTGACTCTTTGCTCGTACCCCAAAAAACTAGGCACAGACAAAAGAGTTACTCTGTAACAATAATCTGACTCTGAGTAGCGCTAAGTAGACAAAACAAAAAATAAAAACAATTATATAAAATATGGGACAAAAATGCCGGTACCATATGACACGAATGATAACATCGGCCGCAACATATCTCTCGGTGGGAGTATGAGCGTTTGTGTTTGGGTACTTTGATTTGTTTACAATCGGTTTTTGGCGGGAAAATAATGTTCTCATTCATAAAATGACCTTCACGGATGATAGATGTATTCTTTTATGTATTGGAACTGACACTCCACTGGACCTGCAAGATATTCTTGTTACTAGAACATACGGGAAAGCTGAAATTAAATTTGGATTGAAATACTCACGTGATCCTATGACGGCTAACTTGAAAGGTATCCTCATAACTAGAACATATGGACAACACGAAAATAAATTTAAAGATACGTAGAAAAGTTGATCGAAAGAGGCTCCCTTGAGCTTCAAAGGCCAGTAGATTTTTATGTCTTAAAATAAGTTGAATTGCAAATTCTTATTTTCAGATTATATCAGAACAGAACAATCAGAACATCGACTTGCAAGATATCCTTGTCTCTAGAACATATGGGAAATATATTCGACTTTAAAAAAAAACGCGTGGACCTTCTGGTCTTATTTTTTATTGAGAAAACACAAAACAGAACTAAGAAAAATATCACAGAAAAACCTGTATGAAAATCCTCGTCGCTAGAACATATGGGAAACTCATTAAAATCGAAACGGAAAATATCTTCTTGAACCTCCCAGCTAAACTTCAATACAGAAAAATAATTTAAATTGAAGAAAAATATCGTAGCTCAAGGATCAAGAACTTGCAAAGATATCCTCGTCACTAGAACATATGGGAAAAACTCAAATTAATTTAATTATTCTAGGAAAAGATCGATAATTTAAAAAAAAATTTACAAAACATATGGCCCATAGATGGGCCTCGCACAAAATTTTCTATAGAAAATCTATGGCCCATAGATGGGCCTCGCACAAAATTTTCTATAGAAAATCTATGTCCTATATATGGCCCTCGCAACAAAATTTTCTATAGAAATCGATGGACCATAGATGGGATATCCTTGCCACTAGACTATATGGGAAAATTAATAGTTCATCAAAATAAAAATCTCCTCGGTATAAGCACACAAATAGAAGTAAATCTCTCTTCTATATAAAAAGAAGTTTTCTTTAAAAGAAAAATTCCTCTTTTTCTCTCAAGAAGAACCCTTCTTTCCAAGAAGAGATTTCCCGGTTCTTATCAGATAGAAGACCTCTTCTTCCAGAGTAGAAGAACACCTCTTCTTCTACGTAGAGCAGAGGAAGACTTTTTCTTCCAGAGTAGAAGGAGACCTATTCATCCAAAGAAAATGACATATTTTTCTAGAAAAGTCATTATCTTCTAGAGAAGAGCATGACCTCTTCTTCTAGAGAAGGAGACGATCTCATTTTCTTCCTCTTTTTTAGAGAGATATTTTATTCTTTCAATTGAGAAAGACTCGTCTTCTAGGGAAGAATACCTCTTTTTGTAGAAAAAATGGGTCCTACAGTAGTCGCGGATTTTTTTTTAAATTATTTTTGGGGTCGTACAATAGGTGTGGATTTAAAAAAAAAACATTTATGAAATTCTACAATAGGCGTGGATTTTTTAAAAACTATTATTTAAAATCTTTTAATTTTCAATTCAAAAAAAAAATTTAATTATTTCTTATTTTTTTTTCTTTTCTTGCAGAACACCCCCTGCAAACATCCCGTTGTTATGTTGGCCGGTGTCAACGCCAATGATTTGGAGGCATTGTTGGAATTTGTCTATCGTGGTGAGGTTAGTGTCGATCATGCCCAATTACCATCACTGTTGCAGGCAGCACAATGTTTAAATATACAAGGACTGGCGCCACAAACCGTGACCAAAGATGACTATACGCATTCGATACAGTTGCAGCATATGATACCCCAACATCACCATGTAAGTTTTGGAACACAAAAAATGGTTATTCAAAGGATAAAACTAATTTTTAAATTTCTTTTTTTTTAGGAACAAGAACAATTGATTGCCACCATTGCCACGGCTCCCCAACAAACGGTACACGCTCAAGTTGTTGACGACATTCATCAGGCTGGACAAATTCTGCAGACGACGACACAAACCCAACAAGGCGGACAACAGCAAACGATTGTGACCACAGATGCGACCAAGGATGTTATACAACAATATTTGCCGGCACGCAAACGTAAACCCAGAACTAAGAAAATGTCACGTAAGTCTGAACTCGCCGAACCTCTCATCCAGTGAACCTCTTTTTTTAATTTCCAATTTTTTCCAATTTTAGCCACGGCCCCGAAAATCACCAAAGTTGAAGGTATGGACACGATCATCAGTACACCCACGACATCGCATACCACAACCACGGTCCAGACAACACAGCAACAACAACAACAGCAGCAGCAACAACAGGTCCAACAGCAACAACAACAGCAGCAGCAACAAATCGAAAATGGCAACGATGGCTCAATGATCACCTCAACACCGATTATCAAGAGTGAAGTTACCAAGGTAGAGACAATTGTTATGGATCCGAACACAAGTGAAATAAGTATTTCAACTCCCGGCAAAACTGGCAAGCGAACCAAGAATTTGAGTGGCGAGAGTAAGTGAAGCGGATTTTTTTTAGTAGCTTTAAAAGTGAAAAAAAAAAAATAAAAAAACAAATGTTAGATAAATTATCTGCCATGTTTGGATAGTGTAGATACTCTTAGATAATGTAGATAAATTATCTATGATGGTTAGATAACGTACAGATTTCATGTATGTCGTTTAGATAACGAAATTATTTTATCTAGGTCGGTTAGATAACGCCAATTTGTAATTTAGATAAAGTAGAGGGTTATCTATACCACTTAGATGACATTTAAAGGTTATCTGCATTGTTTAGATAACATTTAAATGGCATCTTAGTTCAATAGATGTAATTTTTGTAACTCAGATAATTAACAAAGGTTATCTTTGGTGTCTAGATAACGTTTAAAGATAATCTGTGTGATATAGATAATTTTTAAAGGTTATCTAAGTTGATTAGATAATGTATATTAGTGATTTTCATTCTCCAAATATTATCTATGTTACTTAGATAAACGGGAGAGGTTATCTATGTCATTTATATAACGTTTACAGATTATCTATGTTACTTAGATAAATTCTAAAAATTATTTATATGCATTAGATAACATAAATCAATCATCTTAGTACCTTATATGTCATCTTCGTTACTTAGATAATTAACAAAGGTTATCTCTTTGATGTCGATATAACGTTTAAAGATAATCTGTGTGACATAGATAATTTCTCAAGGTTATCTAAGTTTATTAGATAATGTCTATATGTTATTTTCATTCTTTAGATATTATCTATGTTAGTTAGATAAATAGCAGAGGTTATCTTTGCAGGTTAGATAACGTTTAAAGATTATGTAGGCTATTTAGATAACTTGTAAAGTTTATCTATGTTAAAGTTTATCTATATTATTTAGGTGGCGTTTGTGGTGTAGCTACCATGTTTAGATAACGTAGATATTTTATCTTTGTTGTTTAGATAAACTAATTACGTTATTTAGACCATAAATAGGTTATCTACACCATTTAGATAACAATAATAGGTTATCTACATAATGTAGATACCACCAATTGGTTATCTACATCATTTAGATAACCCTAATTGGTTTAGATAACGTAAATACTATATTTACGACACATAGATAACAGAAATTGGTTATCTATACTATTTATCTGGGCTATTTGGAACTTTTAGATGAATTATCTAACACTTAGATAACATTTTAGATAATTTATATTTTATTGAAATTAAATTTAGATAACACTAAATGGTTATCTACATCATTTAGATAACGTAAATACCATATTTACGACGTTTAGATAAAATTTGGTTATTTATGAATTATCTAACACTCAGATAACATTTTAGATAATTTATTTATTTACTGAAATTAATTTTTTCTAATCCAATTTTTTCTTATCTTCCCATTTGCAGAACCCCGTTCCCGATCACAATCCGAACAACCGGCCACCTGTCCCATCTGTTATGCCGTCATACGTCAATCGCGTAATCTACGTCGTCACTTGGAACTCAGACATTTTGCCAAACCCGGTGTGAAAAAGGAAAAGAAAAGTAAGTTATCAGGTGGTGGTAGTGGCACCGGTGCCGATCTCGATACAACCGACGGGGATGATGGCGGCAACAATTCATCGACAATGTTAGGTTCAACGACAATGACCACCGGTGATGGTGCCAGTGTTATGCTAGATAATACGACGACAACAACAACGATGGGCGGCAACAATACGAACGGTGTTAATGCCTTGGTCACCGCTGTGAGTAATGCCATGCCCATGAATACAACATCAACGGCGGTAACTAGTGGCGGTACTCCGATTATTGTGGGCAATACAATAACCCAACTGCCCGTACTTAAACAAGAGCCAGGTGCTGGTAATAATGGTGGGGCAACAACAATTACCACAACCGCTGGTGGTTGTATTGTGGGTACGGCAACAGCTCAACAGGTGGCCAATGCGAATCATCATCAGGGTCAAATGCAAAATGTCATACATATAGTAAGCGAGGAAGTTTATCAGCAGCAGCAACAACAGCAACAGCAGCAACAACAACAACAGCAGCAGCAACAACATCAACAGCAATAATCATAATTATCACACCCACACACACACACACAACCTCACTCCCGCATCCATCCACACTTCCCTCAATTTTAATTTGTTGGCCTAACTCAAAACTAAACTACTCCCCCGCTCAGCATTTATCATGATCATGCATTCCTTGATAACATCATTTGTTTTGATTCTCACACTCTCTCTCTCTTGTTCTTCTTCTTCATCTATTTATCTAACATTTTATCTTCCATTGCATTTTTTCTTTTCAAAGTGCAATTTGTTTGCTTCTTCTTTTTCTATTCTTTTAACAATGCCAACTCTAGTAGAGAGGCAACAAAAATAATTATTTTTTTTTAATTTTTCTTTTTAAAATTTTTTATTATTATTTTTTATATTATTTTTGTATATACGTATATAAAATTATTTTTTAGAAAAATAGTAATTTAAAATTTATCTAATTTTATTTTGTAATATTATTGCATAAAACAAATAGGTTATTTTAAATTTGAAAACAATACAAAGTTGTAGAACAAATGGGGTTTCGAATTCAAAATCCTTCTTTGAAAAAATTATCTTTTCTATAGTAGAAAAATTCTCTATAAAGAAGTACTACCTTGTGGTAACATTTTTTTTATAGTTTTTTTTTCTACTTTACAAAAGATGGATGCTAGTTTTGAGCAATTTCCGTTACTTAGGACAAGTTTTGAGATTTGATATATTCCCAGACCTCTAGTAGAATTTTATGAGGAACAATTTTGTAGAACACATTGACCTCCGAAAACCTCGTTTTCAAGGTGTTAGGACCAATTTTGAAAAAGCTTTTCAAAAACATATTTTCTGTTCCATTACATATTTACTTTCCTCCATTTTCTGGTACTCAAGTTCGGATTTAAGTTTTAATATATTCCCAGACCCCTAGTAGAATTTTATGAGGAACTATTTTGCAGGACACACTGACCTCGGATAACCCCTTTTTCAAAGTGCTAGGAGCATTTTTGGAAAAGCCTTTTAAAACCCCTTACCTTCAATTGCCGTTGAATATTTACTTTCCCCCATTTTCTGGTACTGAAGTCGGGATTTGAGTTTTGATATATTCCCAGACCCCTAGTAGAATTTTATGAGGAACAATTTTGTAGAACATATTAACCCTTTAAAACACCGGTTTCTAGGTGCTAGGAGCATTTTTGGAAAACCGTTTCAAAAACATACTTTCTGTTCCATTACATATTTACTTTCCCCCATTTTCCGATACTTATGTCCAGATTTGAGTTTTGGTATATTCAGACACCCCTAGTAAAATATTATGAGGAACAATTTTGCAAAATATGTTCACCCTATAAAACCCCGTTTTCAAGGTGTTAACAGCAATTTTTGAAGAACATAGCAAACTCATAGTTTCAATTTAACGGAACATTTTCTTTCAAGCTTGTTCTTGCTTTTAGGTCCACGCTAGAGTTTTGAAATGTTCAAGGACCCCAAGTAAAATTTAGTGGCGAACAATTTTGTAGAATATTTCATCCCGCCAAAATAAAGTTTTCTCGATGATTTAGCCCTATTTCAAAAATAATCCCATTATTTATATTTGTCACCATTGTTTTACACATTTTCTGGGTGTAAACTTCTATTGAGAGTTTTGGTATATTCAGAGACTGGTACTGAAATTTTATGAGGAAAAAATTTGCGGAACATGTTAGCCCCCTAAATCCCCAATTTTTGGGGGTTTGAAGTCATTTTTAGAAAAAACATAGCAAAACCATACCTTCAGTTCTACTTTACATTTTGTTTCAAGCTTATTCTTGAATTTAGGTCCACGTTAGAGTTTTGAAATGTTCAGTGACCCATGGTAGAATTTTGGGGCAAACAATTTTGTAGAATATTTCTTTCCGGTAAATGCTCATTTTCCCGATGTTTTAACCCTTTTTCAAAAAATAACCCCATTTTTTATAATTGTCGTTTTGTTTTGCTCATTCTTGCATTTAGGTTCAGGTTAGAGTTTTGAAATGTTCAATGACCCATGGCAGAATTTTGTGGCGAATAATTTTGTAGAATATTTCATTCCACTATTTGCTCATTTTCCTGGTGTTTTTGATCATTTTTCAAAAATCACTTTTTCTTCAGGCATTTTTTGAACAAATTGCTGCATGACAATGAGTGACCCAAAACTCCCTTTTACTGAAGAGCTAGAGGTTTAATTTGTTCTACAAAATTCTTTCTCATGATGTTATTAGTAATATTGCCGAACATATTGCGTAACTAATATCTATGAATACCGTGGAATTATGCGGAACGAAAAAATGCTTGAATGTGAAACCCCTTTTTCCTACAACTTTTTTTTATTTTTTTATTATTGTAAAAAATCGTATACCTATAATCTCAACCGTAATTTTTTATGTTTAAAAAAAAATTAAGAATATAAATTTGAAAACAATGAAAAGAAAATCAAAATTATTTAAATAATTTTGTTTTTTATTTTCGTTCTGTTTCTTAGATATTTATTAAGGCATTGTAAAGAAATATTTTTTTAAATAGCTCTTAAAACACACACAACAACAGCAACCTAAATTTTTAATCTATTTATAAATCTAAAAAAACTATTTTTTAAATTATATATATTTTTTGTATTTCTATATAATATAATTTATAATTATAATGCTCTAGTACATATAATACAAAAAGAAATACTACACCTAACTATTAATACTACATACCATACACACACATTAAAATTAACAATTAGAAACATGAAAGTGAAACATCTTTATAAATAAAGTGGACATATAATGAAAGAAAAAAAACCAAACCTTATTTGTTATGAGTTTGTATTCGTTTTATTTATTACGATATATTGATGATTTATTTACTATAGTTTAATTTTTTTTCTCTGAGAATATAATTTATTAACTCAAATTGTTTCTGTAGTTAGAGATTTCAGATTCTAATTTATGAAAACAAAAAAACTATTTAAATTTACCCCTGGTTTCCACAACAGACCCCCCAACAGAACATGAATTTAATTGCAAAAAAAAAAAAAAATCTTTCTCTTTATTACCCTCTTTTATTATTGTCCTTTTTCTTAACTACAAATTCATCACGATAAAGTTTGGTTTTTTTATTTTAGTTTTCTTTACAAAAAAATTAATATTTGTTAATTAATTGAAAACACAACACACACATACACACAAATCAATGAAAGAAATTAATTGTAATTATATAGAGAAAACAAAAAATTGTAATTTTCTAACCTCAATTTATTTACATTATTCCATTCACTCACACACACATATATACCATTTTTTAACCCAACATTTGCTCCTTGCATTATTAATCCATCCATCCTTTCAATCCATTCCTTTCATTAATTCACACATTTCTTCTTCATCCCACACAATCAATGTATGTGCGCTGTGTTGCTGATAAACTTCCGAGATGAATTTGTAGTTGCAAGGGAAAAAATAGAAAAAACCTTGGGACCCAAGGGTGGCGGGGGTCTTCTCAATAGACGACCAGTTGGGAGTTTTTATAAGCAAGCCTGAAGCTAGAAGAGTTCCAGGAAATCGGCCCTCTTTTTTATAATATTTTTCTCAAAGATTACAATAATTGGAAACTGTTTAGTTTTGCTATTTTTCTGCCTGCTAGCTTTTGTTTTGAGTTTTGATATATTCAGAGACCCCAAGTAGGATTTGATGAGGAACAAATTTGCAGGATATTTTGACCCTTTAGAACCCCATTTTCTGGGCGTTAAAAGTCTATTTTCGAAAACATATCAAAAACATATTTACAATTTCGTTATGTTCGGATTTGAGTTTCGGAATGTTCAGAGACCCCTACTAGAATTTTATGGAGAACAATTTTGTAGAATATTTTATCCCGCCAAAATCACGTTTTCCCAATGTTTTAAGCCATTTTCGCAAAATAACCTTATATTCAGGGGTACATTTACTATTGTATTTTCGTTTAGCAATTTTTCTGGGTGTTAGAGTTTTTTTTGAGTTTTGGTATATTCAGAGACCCCTAGTAGAATTTTATGAGGAACAATTTTACAGAACATCTTAACCCTTTAAAACCCCGATTTCAAGGTTTTCGAGGTGTTTTGGCGCTTTTTCGAAACAGTAACCCCATTTTTGAGTAAATTTTGAAAATGTTTTTTTATTCTGCTTCGTTTCTGGGTGTTAGGTCTTGTTTTCAGTTTTGGTATATTCAGTCACCCCTAGTAGAATTTTCTGGCGAACAAGTCTGTAGAACATTACGACCCGCTAAAATCTGGTTTTCAAGGTGTTTAACACGTATTTTGAAAAACATACAAAAATATACCTTTAGTTTCGTAGAATATTAATTATCACCAGATTCTGATACTTCCGCACTGATTTGAGTTTTGGAATCTTCAAAGACCCCTAGTAGAATTTTCTGGCGAACAAATTTCTAGAACATTATGACCCGCTAAAAACCCGTTTTCATGGTCTTTTTGATTGCTTTTCAAAAAGATATAAAAATATAAACCATTTTTATATTAGAAAATAGTTTTCAATATTTTTCGGAATTTATATTTTGTTTTGACTCTTGGAATATTCAGAGGCCCCTAGTAGAATTTAGTGAGAAACAAATTTGCGGAACATTTTGAATCGGATAAATGACGTTTAAGGGGTATTGTTGTCTATTTTCGAAAATGTTACCCTAAAAACCGTTTATTTAAGTTTTACTTGTTTCTTGGCCTCTTTCTATCCGTTTGGTGTTCTTCTGAGTTTTGGAATATTCAAAGACCCCTGGTAGAATTTTCTGTCGAACACTATTGTAGAACATTATGACCCGCTAAAAGCTCGTGTTCAAGGTGTTTTAAGTTGTTTTTTAAAATTATATAAAAATATATTTTTTTATTAAAAAATAGTTTTAAAAATTTTGCGGAATTTATATTAGGTTTTGACTTTTGGAATATTCAGAGACCCCTAGTAGAATTTTGTGAGGAACAAATTTGCAGAATATCTTGAAACGTTAAAATGACATTTAAAGGGTGTTTTAGACTTTTTTCCGAAAATGTTGCCTAAATTAGATTTCCTCCATCTTGAACTTAGTTAAACATATTTTTCAGACTCTACAAATGGGCGTGGATGTTCCTCATCCTCCTCTCTTTGATATTTATAACTAATGTGTTTATTTTGTTTTCCTCAGCTCCCGGTAAAAAGACCGCCATGGCTGTGCCACCCGGTTCATCGAATGCCTCTGGAACTTCAACGGTAACTACAACATCGGTTAGCACTGTGCCGCAGGTACAATCGGTCCAATCGCTGCATACCCTACAAACGGTGCAAGTTAAGAAGGATCCTGATGCACAAAGTCAAGGACAGACAATGACAGTGACCACCACAACAACGGGAAATAATAATGGACAGCAAGCTCAACAACAACAGCAGAACCAGCAACAACAATCACAACAACAGCAACAGGTGCAACAAGTTCAAGTACAACAGGCTCAGCAGCAACAACAACAAATACAACAGCATCATATTATCGATCAATCGGGTAATATATCAACGACCACCACAACAACAACAAATACCGGACAGCAGCAAGCCCAGCAACAACAACAGCAGCAGCAGCAAAATCAACAGCAACAACAACAAATTGTAACACAAACTGAAAACACCGATGGCACCACATCCTTATCCATAGCCCAGGTTCAAACTCTGCCCTCCGGTCATCAAATTCTGGGCAATATTAATCAGGTGAATATGACTGAATATCAGACACATCCCACATTGTGAGAGGACTGATAATCATGATGATAATGATGTGGATGGGGAGAATTGAATGATGACACACACATAAACAAACACACGGACACACATCTGAATATATTTTTTCAAAAAAAATTTTGGTTTTTTAAGAAAATTTTCTTCATTTTATTTTTCTTCAAGGGAGGGAAGAAAAAAATTTTTTTAATTCTTTTTTTGTTATTTCTTCTTCTTGGCTTTATTTACTTATTTTAAGTTTTATTCTTATTTTTTGTAGTAATTAAGTAAATCCAACCCTGTGCAATGTTAATATTTATGGCAAAAATATAACCCCCCAAAACCCAAACCCTACCCTTTTGTTTCTTTCCCCCCCCAATGCTATTTGTTTTTTAACCTAAGTTTAATACTAACCCCAACTTAGTTTGTAAATTTAAAAAATATATCATTAAAATTTTTTTAAAAATTATGTTAATTAAAAAAATATTTTTAATTAAAAAAAATATTTTTGATTAAAAAAAATATTTTTAACTAAAAAAACTATTTTTAATTAAAAAAAATTCTTTTAGTTAAAGAAGTAAAATTTTTTTATAAATAAAAACAAAATATTTTAGTTTTAATTTCTTAAGCTTTTTCCTTTGTAGCATACCTGTATTTGAAAATTAAAAAAAATGCAATTGTTTTGTAATTTTATTATAGTAAGAATTTTAATTGTTTCTTCCCCCTTAGCTCTGGTACTCCCATCCCTCCCTCTCCCATGTAGTTAAATATTTTATAAAAAATAATTTTGTATTTTTATGGTAAATAGTCTAGTTCTTTGTAGAGCTTAAAGCTTCTATACCACCCCCAATCCTCATAATGATTGATTTTACATACCCAGATACCACCCTCCTCTTGAAACTGGTAACTTGTTAAATCTTAATTAATCCCCCTTTATACCTTAGTATATTTGCTTTTAAACTGGTTTTAAGTTATATATCCTTATAAAATAAATTTACTCTTAATTCTATTATAATTATTACTATTATTCTTTTTATCAAATTTTCTCTATGAATTTTTTGTTTGTTAGATAGATAAATTAAAAAAAAATATATATATAAAAAATAGATAAAAACAAAATTATATTTCTCCTGACTTTGGTTTCATTTTTCTTAATTTTTTGTAAAAATATATATATCTATAGTGAATATTATTTTATATATATAAGAAAGAAATATTTGTTATGTTATTCCATTTAAAATTGTATTTTTGTTTAGCAATTTTTTTGGGTGTTAGGTTTTGTTTTGAACTTTGATATATTTGGAGACCCCCAGTAGAATTTTGTGGAGAACAAATTTGTAGAATATTTCCGGAAAAATAACGTTTTCCTAGAGTTTTAAGCCATTTTCGAAAAATAACCTTATATTTCGAGTTTCATTTAATAATATTGTATTTTTGTTTAGCAATTTTTCTGAGTGTTAGTATTTGTTTTGAGTTTTGGTATGGCCAGAGAACCCTAGTCGAATTTTATGGCGAACAATATTGTAGAACATTTCATCCCGGAAAAATCATGTTTTCCCAATGTTCTAAGCCTTTTCGTAAAATAACCTTATATATCGTGTTTCATTTAAAATTGTATTTTTGTTTAGCAATTTTTCTGGGTGTTAGGTTTTGTTTTGAACTTTGGTATATTCAGAGACACCTAACAGAATTTTATGGCGAACAATATTGTAAAACATTTTATTCCCGAAAAATTACGTTTTCCTGGAATTTTTAGTCTTTTTCAAAAAATAACCTTACATTCAGGGGTTTCATTAAAAATTGTATTTTTGTTTAGCAATTTTTCTAAGTGTTAGGATTTGTTTTGAGCTTTGGTATATTCAAAAACACCTAACAGAATGTTATGGCGAACAATATTGTAGAACATTTTATTCCGGAAAAACAACGTTTTCCCAGTGTTTTAAGCCATTTTCGAAAAATAACCTCACATTCAGGGGTTTCATTTAAAATTGTATTTTTGTTTTGCTCTTTTTCTGGGAGTTACGATTTGTTTTGAGCTTTGGCATAGTCAGAGACCCCCATTAGAATTTTATGGCGAACAAATTTGTAGTACATTTCATCCCGCCAAAATCACGTTTTCCCAGTGTTTTACGCCTTTTTCTAAAAATAACCTTACAATTCAGGGGTAAATTTAAAATTGTTTTTTTTTTTTTGTTTATGTTTGAGCTTTGTTTTGAGCTTTGGGTGTTAGGTTTTGTTTTGAGTTTTGGTGTATTTGGAGACCCCTAGTAGAATTTTATGGCGAACAAGTTTGTAGAACATTTTATCCCGGAAAAATAACATTTTCCCTGTGTTTTAAGACATTTTCGAAAAATAACTTTACATTTAGCGTTCCATTTAAAATTGTATTTTTGTTTACCAATTTTTGTGTGTGTTAAGTCTCGTTTTGAGTTTTGGTACATTCAGATACCCCTAGTGGAATTTTATAAGGAATAATATTAGAGAACATTTCGACTCCGTAAAACCCGGTTTTCAGGGTGTTTAAAGCACATTTTGGAAAACGTATCAAAAATATACCTTCAGTTCCATTGACTATTTACTTTTCACCGCTTTCAGTTACTTATGTCCGGATTTGAGTTTCGGAATGTTCGGAGACCCCCACTAGAATTTTATGGCGAACAAATTTGTAGTACATTTCATCCCACCAAAATCACGTTCTCCTGACGATATAACCATTTTTGAGAAATAACCTCATATTGAAAGTTTCATTTAAAATTTCATGTTTTGTTTAGCAATTTTTCTGGGTGTTAGGTTTTGTTTTGTGTTGTAGTATATTCAGAGACCCCTAGTAGAATTTTATGGCTAACAAATTTGTTATATTATATTCATATATTCATTATTGAGAATTAACCTCATATTTCAATTATAAGATTATTGTTCGAAAAAGACTTTAAACACCGGAAAAATCAAATTTTGGCGGGATAAAATGTACTACAATACTGTTTGCCATAAAATTCTAATGGGGGTCTCCGAACATTTCAAAACTCAAATCCGAACATCATAAGTACCTGAAAGTGGTGAAAAGTAAATATTCAATGGAACTAAAAGTGTGTTTTTGATACGATTTCCAATATATGCTTGAATCATCCTGAAAACGGGGTTTTAGAAGGGTGAGATGTTTTGCAAAGTTATTCCTTACAAAATTCCCCTAGGGGTCTCTGAATATACCAAACTTCAAAACAAGACCTAACATCCAGAAAAAGAGCCGAACAAAAAATGAATTTTTAATAAAACTTGAAATATGAGGTCATTTCTCAAAAATGGTTATATCGCTAGGAAAACGTGATTTTAGCGGGATAAAATATTCTACAATATTGTTCGCCATAAAATTCTACTAGAGGTCTCCAAATATACCAAAACTCAAAACGAATTCTAACACCCAGAAAAATTGCTAAACAAAAATTCAGTTTTAAATGAAACCCTGAATGTAAGGTTATTTTTCGAAAAGGCCAAAAACACCATGAAAACGTAATTTTGGCGGAATAAAATATTCTACAATATTGTTCGCCATAAGATTCTAATAGAGGTATCCAAATATACCAAAGCTCAAAACTAATTCTAACACCCAAAAAATTGCCAAACAAAAATACAAATTTAAATGAAACCCTAAATGTAAGGTTATATTTAAAAAAGGCTAAAAACACCAGGAAAACGTGATTTTAGCGGGATAAAATATTCTACAAATTTGTTCGCCATAAAATTCTACTAGGGGTCTCCGAATATATCAAAGCTCAAAACTAATTCTAACACCCAGAAAAATTGCTAAACAAAAATAAATTTTAAATGAAACGCTAAATGTAAGGTTATTACTCGAAAAAGGCTTAGAACACCAGGAAAACGTAATTTTTCCGGAATCAAATGTACTACAATATTGTGCGCCATCAAAGTCTACTAGGGGTCTCTGACTATGCCAAAACTCAAAACAAATTCTAACACCCAGAAAAATTGCTAAACAAAAATACAATTTTAAATTAAACCCTCCTGAATTTAAGGTTATTTTTCGAAAACGCGATTTTGGCGGGATAATATATTCTACAAATTTGTTCCGCATAAAAAGGAAAATGTCCCAAAAATATCCCTGAAATCATCATCATCACCATATCCTTGTATTGTAATAACCTTTAAATAAAATATCATCATCAAAATACTAATTACAATTTGTTGTCTTTTTCTTCTCTCTTTTTTTGCATCGATAACCCAACAAACAAAATAACCAAAAAATTCAAAAATTCCAAAATTAATGAAAACAATCATCAAATAATCTACTGCATCATTCGCACATCATTACCACAACATCATCATCACCACCATTCAAAAATTTTGACTAATCCTGCAAAATTGTGTAAATAACCCAACAAACATTTATGCGGCTTTTCACACCTTGTCCCGCCGCGCCAATCAGGGCAACAACAAGAACATTTTGGTAAAGAAGGTTTTCATTTTGAAAGGCAGTAATAATACGTAATGATGATCCAACGATATGATCTGCGGCTCCGACGGTGGTACAGCAGCAGCAGCCAATCAGCATGCCGCTGCCGCAACAACGGATAACGGAGTCGAGGTCGTAACGGCTGGTACAACAACGGCAGCGGCATCATCTTCGACAACATCATCGGCAGTAACAACATCGACTGTCGTGGCCGCAACGACGACATCAGGACACGAAACGGTTAACCATGGAACGGCGACGGGACACACGGGAGGCGGTGGCGGCAATGCCACGGTAATTAGCGGTGGTGAAGTTCTAAATGTTAGTGCCGCGGAGTTGGCTCAAATGGTTAGTGGGGCACAGGGTAATGTTCAAATTACCACCACCCAACCATTGACCAGGGCCACCAGGCGTATGCTGCGAGGTCATGCCACAACAAATGCCGCCGGGGAAAGGGTATTGCTGATCAATTATATATCACCGAATTCGGGCGCCACTAGCGGCGGCAGTACCGTCACCACCACAACCAACAGCAGTGGTGGTCATGGTCATCATCAGCAGCAGCAACAACATCATGGGGGTACGGCCATTATACAAAGCTCAACATCTGGAGGCCCGGGTACGACCACCACCACAAGACGGGTCATACAAACCCGATCTCAACATGCAGCTGCCGCCGCCCATGGTGGCAGTAACAATCATCACCCTGCAACCACCACCACCACCGTACGCACATCCAATGCCCCCTCCGCAACCCCCGTTTCATTGGCTGGCCTTGGCTCTGAGGTCACCGTCACTTTGAAGAGATCGAATAAATCTCAGCAACAACAACAACACCAGCAAAATGCCGCAGATCATATTATACGACAACAACAGCAACATCATCATGCACAACAACACATTGCCACAACGCGAACAACTACAAACACAGCCGGAACTTCGGCATCACCACCTCCCTTGGTATTCACCACCACCCATCATCATCATCAGCAGCAGCATCATCACACCGCCGGCGATGAACTCCAACATCATGAACTACACGAAGTCGAAGAGATTGAGGAACATCATCAGCAGCAACAACAACAATATCATCCACAACAACATCAGGTCATAATACATCATCACACCACAGGTGGTGGTCAGCAGCAGCATTATCAGCAAACCGAACACCATCACGATTCGCATCATCAGTCGTCCGCTGGCGGCGGCGGTGTACCACACCTAATGTCCATACAAACCCAAACCCAAGCCACCTCCGCCGATATGGATGAAGAAGATCTCCTCGAATATAGTACCAGTAATGTGGATCAGGTTGTAGAGGCTGCCATGTCCGTTGAGGATGCCGAAGATGTGGAGGAGGTTGTGGAAACGCATCATATCCAACAGTTGCACACCGTACAACTGCAGACCCAAGGTGGCGACGAGTGTCTGGACGATGAGGGTGAAGTGGAGGAGGTGTATTTGCAATAAAGATGAAGAGAGGGAGAGGTGGGAGATTAGAACATGATGGAGCTCTGAGAGCCATTATGTTTAGGATTTATTTTTTTAGATATAAGGGACCCAGCGGGTTTTTTGGCAACCACAGGTTTCAATATTTTTTTATTAAACAATATTTTTTATTAAAAAAAATTTCAATATTTTTTTATTAAAAAAATTCTCAATATTTTTTATTAAAAAAATTCAAATTTTTTTTATAAAAAATAGTAAAAAAGTGAAAATTGCAAAAACAAATTGAAAAAATTTTCATAAAAAATATTGAAAAATTTAAAAAAAATTTCAATATTTTTTTTTATAAAAAATTCAATATTTTTTTTTTATAAAAAATTCAATATTTTTTTTTATAAAAAATTCAATATATTTTTTTTATTAAAAATTCAATATTTTTTTTATAAAAAATTCAATATTTTTTTTTATAAAAAATTCAATATTTTTTTATTAAAAATTCAATATTTTTTTTTTATTAAAAATTCAATATTTTTTTTTATAAAAATTTGTCAATATTTTTTTAATAATTTTTTTTCATATTTTGTATAAAATTTTTTTCAATATTTTTTTATTATTCTCAATATTTTATTATAAAAAAATTCTTTTTTTTTTAAATTTTAATATTTTTTTTTTTTTTTATAAAAATGAATTTTTCAATATTTTTTTTTTTAAAAATTTTAATAATTAATTAAAATAATGGAAAAATGTCTTTTTATAAAAAAATATTGAAAATATATTTTATATAAACCTGTATGTGCTTTAAAACTTGCTGGGAGATTGAGAGAGAGAGAGAGAGAAGAAAATTAAAAAAATAAAAAGTGTGGTTAAGATTTTATTTTTTTACAAATAAAAAACAAGTTGCAATTTTTTGAGGTTAAGATTTTATAAATAACGAGTTGCAATTTTTTATTTTTAATATTTTCAATTTTTCTTTTTTTAAATGAAAATTAAATTTAAAAAATATTACATTAAATATAAGTTAGTTATATAAGGCTATATATAAAATATATACTATATAAAAAAACAAAAAAATAAGAAATCTATTTTAAGTAATGATACATACAGTGAATTTCAAAAATTTTGAAAATTTCGTAAATAATAAAAACATGGATTGTTGAAAAAAAAATAATTTTTAAAATTTACTGTATAGAAAAATCACTGGGAATAAAATGGAAACAAATTTGTAAAATAATTAATAATTAAGAAATAAATTTTACTTTTTTAATATTTAAATATTCCAAAATAAAAATTCAATAACAAAAATTTTGAAATTTTTTTCATATTATTTGCAATAGTGTTAAAATTTTGTGTATAGACAGAAAAATAATTGAGAAAATTTTCTATTTTTTATTAATTTAAAAGAATTGAAATAATAATATTCAATAATAGTGACTCCAAAATAATTTTGACACTTTGACATTTTTTTTTCAATAGAAATAGTGAATTCAGAAATATATTTTTTTGTTAAATTTGCTGTATTAAAAAAAATTTAAAAAATCCATTTAAAAAATTCGACTTATTTTTTTTAAATCTAAAATAGAGGACATAATCGAGAAATAATTTTGAAAATATATTCAATAACAAATTACAAAGATTTCAAACATGTTGTATGTATAAAAAATAAAATTGTATTTGTATCTTAAAAAATTAAATAAAAAAATATTTTCAAAAATTTGTTTAAATAAAAATTATGTAAAATTTTTTTAATAACTTTTAATAACAAATGATGAAATGTTTTTAAAAAATGTTTAAATAAGTTGTTCAGTATTTAAATCTAAAAGTAATTGATTTTATGTTTCCCCCCATCCGAAAAAAATAATGGGTGTTAATTCAGACAATTTTTGCTAAAATAAAAAAATTTAAATCATGTTAAAAAATGTATTTGATTTTTGAAATTGTATTTGAAATTTGTATTGAAATATTTAAAAAGATATTTTTTGAAAATATTCAAGTTTATTATATGTAGAGATCAGTATGATAATTTAAACAACTAAAAATTTGGTTAAGTTCGGCCGGTCAATTGAAAAACTGGCAAAAAATCCGGAAATTCCGAATAAAACCGTTATATGGTGGCTATCATAAAAAGTGGACCGATGTCCATCATTTTTGGTAGGAAGTTTCACTATCCAATCTGAATTCACAGTACAAAATTTCAGCCAAATCGATTGATAAATGGACCAAAAATTATCGAAACTTCGAATATTTGGCGGTAGCTTTATATGGGGGCTATTGTGAAAAGTGGATCGATTTCGAAAATTTTTGGTGAGGGGATTTGTTGCCCGATGGGAACTCATAGTACCAAATTACTGCCATTTCTGTTAAAAACTGGCCAAAAATTGCGGAAATTCCGAAGTAGTTTTATATGGGGGCTATCATAAAAAGCGGACCGATATCGTTGATTTTTGGTAAGGAGATTTCTTACCCAATGGGAACCCACTGTACCAAATTACAGCCAATTCTGTTGAAAAACTGGCCAAAAATTCCGGAAATTCCGAATATTTCGAGGTAGTTTTATATGGGAGCTATCATCAAAAGTGGACCTATTTCAATAAAATTTGGTGAGACGATTTGTTACCTAATGAGAACTCAACGTACCAAATTACTACCAAATCGATTGAAAAATAGGGCAAAAAGTTCCCAAAATACCGAATATTAGGGGTACCTTTATATGGGGGCTATCATAAAAAGTAAACCCATATCGATAATTTTTGATGAGGAGATTTATTACCCAATGGGAACCCACTGTACCAAATTACAGCCAAATCGATTCAAAAATGGACCAAAAATTCTAGAAATTCCGAATATTTGGGGGTACCGTTATATGGGAGCTATCATCAAAAGTGGACCGATATCGATAATTTTTGGTGTGAAGATTTGTTACCCAATGAGAACTCACAGTACCAAATTAGAGATAATTCGGTAGAAAAACCTGCCAAAAAATCCCAATATCGAATATTTGGAGGGACCGTTATATGGGGGCTATCATCAAAAGTGGACCGATTTCGAAAATTTTTGGTGAGACGATTTATTACCCAATGGGAACTCAATGTACCAAATTACTGTCATGGCAAACTATTCGGAAATTCCGAATATTTGGAGGTAGTATTATATGGGGATTATCATAAAAAGTGTACCGATATCGATAATTTTTGGTGAGACGATTTATTACCCAATGGGAACTCAAGGTACCAAATTACAGTCAAATCGATTGAAAACAATGCCAAAAATCCGTAAATATCGAATATTTGGAGGTACCTTTATATGGGGCCTATCGTAAAAAGTGCACCGACATCGATCATTTTTGGTGAGACGATTTGTTACCCAATGAGAACTCACCGTATCAAATTACAACCAAATCGATTGATAAACGCGCCAACAATTCCCAAAATATCGACTATTTTGGGGTACCGTTATATGGCAGCTACCAAAAAAAGTGGACCGATATCTATAATTTTTTCATAGAATAATTTGCTACTGTATGCTGATTCAAAATACCAAATTACAGCCAAAATTTAATTTAAAAAAGTTCTCAAACACCCCCAAAATATCGAAAAATCGGAAGTATAGTTATGGTGAGGGAGCTATGGTAAAAAGTGAACCTATATCGATAATTTTTGTTAATGGAGTTTTGGTACCCAATGGGAACTCAAAGTACCCAATTCGGTCAAAAAATTGTCTATAACTCCCTAACTCACTAAGTGGACCGATATATTAAATTTTTTGAATATCAAACATCCGAGAAGTAATAAGAAAAAAATATTAAAAAAAATAAAAAAAAAAATAATAATAAAAAAAAAAAATAATAAAAAAATATTTAAAAAAAAATGATTTAAAAAATAATAATTTAAAAAAATAAATTAAAAAAAATAATTTGCAAAAAAAAAAAATAATTTAAAAAAAGAATTAAAAAATTAATATAAAATAATAAAAATAATTTAAAAAAATATAAAGAAATAATATTTAAGATATATATACACATACATATAAATGTATATATTTTAAAATTTCAATAATTGTAATCATTAAAATATTTTTTTAAATAAAAAAAAAACTTATTGAGAAAATGGAAACAAGTTTTTAAATAATAAAAGAATAAATATATGGAAATTGTAATATAAAAAATAATAAAACATAATTTTATTGTATATATACTTAATAGAAAAAATAAATCCTTAAACATATAATGTGTATAAAAAATATAAAAATATAATGAAATATAATTAAAAAAAAATACTTATAATAAAATAAACATTTATTTGAAATTTGTAAGACAGAAACAAGCTTGGTTTTATTATGAATTTATTTATGAATCACACGGATATCTTAATTTTCAAAAAATTATCTCAAAAATAATTAAAAAAAATCAATTTTTTTAATAATTTCGATGTGCCATATCAACCATTCTTCATTAGCCATAAGGCTGAGGGTATAAAAAATCTCCACCCTATCGGCACAGAAAAACTGTCCTTTAAGAAATCCACCTGGGGAATTTTTTTAAGTAAAATTTATTTAAAAAAATTTTTTTTTAATAATTTCGATGTGCCATATTAACCCTTCTTCATTAGCCATAAGGCTGAGGGTATAAAAAATCTCCACCCTATCGGCACAGAAAAACTGTCCTTTAAGAAATCCACCTGGTAAAATTTATTTTAAAAATAGTTTCTTTTTTTTATTGCCACACATAAAAACTACATTTCTTCCCCAATCCAATCGTGAAAGTTTCATCCGAATATCTCCATTTCTTGCCGTGGCTGCTACACGATTCTGTTTGCCTGTTACCTCAAATGGAAAAACTGGAGAAACGGCAAATACCTAAAAACAGAAAAATACCACAAGTGTTGCCAACCACTCTTTATTCGCTTTGTGTGGTTCTCCATGTTAGTTTGCCAAATATTGAGCATACTTTTAGGCGTTACACAATTGCATGGAAACAATGTGAAAAAATCATGCGAACGCATGATCCGATTTGAGCCAAATTTTGCGCT